TAATTAACAACATAGCTACGAATACAACAATACACACATTACTACAATATTCATAAACTATAAATATCAGATGGCTAATCATTAAGGAGTGCTTCCGACTGATTATCTCATAAAACTTTTTCGATTTGAAGAGGGATTTAACACCTTTATTCCTAAAAATCATTATGCTAATCAACTACTGTTATAGCGTTTCACTTGTTAAATCTGGAAAAGATTAGAAAACAAGATTGTAGATCTACAGAGGGACCTTATGTAACATCTGTATCCTAAACATCCCCTACGAAATTATGCCAATCACCAGTGATTAAAACATAAAGCTTCAATTTTGGTTTTATTACATAATAAATGCCAACAAAGATTTCCTGTGAAATTGTCTATCACAATATATTATGCAATTTGTTAGAAACTAACTAATACATAAAATCCTACACTGAACAGCTACTGAAAATTGTGAAGAATACATTTTAAAAATACATATGTTGTTTAAAAAAAAAAATCTACAGAATGAAATTTTTTAACTCAACCAGAATATGTCAAGGTAACTAATTTTTTGAATGTACCATTTTAATTTTATCTTGGAAAATGCTGATGTTGTGGTGAAATTGAATTTCATTATGGAAATCTCTATTCAGCAGTGATTCTCAAACTTTAATAACTCAAGGATCCCTTCTAATTTAAATTTTTTTTTTTGTGGACTCCCAAAATCTATCGATATTTTTTGTTTTGAAAAAAAAAATTCCACGTATATGAAAAGCTGTACTCCAAAATTAAATGTTTGAATTCATAAAAGTTGAATGTTATGAATTTTTTTCCGACATGACTCGGGAACCCAAGGGTGTGTGGTACATGAATGTTCTACATGCACTTATTTTAGGTATTATTAATTTTTATTTTCAGTTAACATTTAAGAGACCTACCAGAACGAAGTAATAAAGTTATACATGCAAGGCCAATTCATGAAGTATCAAATTAAAACAGTAAAAGCACTTAAACATGTAAAACCAGTTGAATTCTATAACTTTCAAAACTTTTATTATCATAATCTTCCAATGGTTGTATCAACAGCAACAAATTCTTGACATTTATTAAAAATATTAATCTCAAACAGCTGAAAAACTGAATTCAAATATGTAAAACTTTTTAAAGTCCTTTAAACTTTCTCTGTTGTTTATTATATGATACAATTATTATTGTAACAAATGGTTTATAAAAATGGTGTTCTGACCACAGCTGTTGTTGTTATGTCCCAGTCAGCCTGATGAGCTATGGACTGAATGAAGTTCATCACTAGCAATGGATATGCCAAACATAGCACGGTTGGAATACTATTACTATACACTTTCTTAATTCTAGAAAATCCCTATGGGACTAGATGAAGAATTCAGTCTTAAAAAATATAACAGGCTGAAAACATATACAACAATAAATAGTTGCACAATAAATAACTTATTAAAACCAAGGCACTGCCATCAAAAGAGACTACATGTTTTGGTGCCATCCATCAGGAGGTGATGTAACTATATAATTAAGTATCTAAATTTTAACTGTTATTCATATTTTTAATAAATCATATTTATTGTTCAACTACTTAATATTGCATATATTTTTTTATATTTTAAATATATACTATTACAGTTTAATGTATTTATAACAGGCCTAATATTAATGTCTTATGACAAGTATAATTAATTATAATCACGCTTCACCAGCTTGTAAAAGCTTTCACACCATAACAACTGTAGGAATGAATTTGGGTTGTTCACTTGTTTCTCAGGTTACACTATTTCTCATACATGTCAGTTATATTCACTGAAAGACAATTTTTTTCTTTTTAGAAATCATTATTCTAAAAATCATACTTTGTTTTTAGAAGTACAGATACTTCCCAAAATAGTTACTTGAAGACCAAACACATATATCAAGAAAAAAAAAAACTGTGACTAGGCAGCTCATTACATCTACCAAAACACACAAAAAATACAATTCACAAATGATAAACAATTACTGTGTCACAACAGATTGAACATAACTATATATCTTGATAGGTGCCTTTGGATATTTTAATAACATATTTTCAGTAAAAATTAATTTTTTTAAACAACATTCAATGGTATAAAACTGAATCCCTCAAATTTTGATCCATAGGAAGACTGCAATCCACCTACTTGAAATTAATATTTATGTCCATGTGAAAACAATCACGATGTCCTAAACTAATTTGTTCATAGCAAATAACCAAAAGTTTATAATGCATAAAACCTTGTTAATCACAGTATTATAATGAAATAAATGTATGCATAACAACAAACTAAAAAAAGAGAAAATATTTCAAACTGATACCTTATAGCTAAGAAAACTGCTATACAAGAACAATGGTTGTTTCTACAGAAATACATTTAAAATGAGTATTAAGACAGCATCCATATGTACCTCGGCCACAAAAAAAAAGAAGAAAAAAAGAAGTGGATGTAATGAAACAAGGCAAAAATTGTGTATAAATAATACTTTATACATCAGATCAGAATGAAAATCAAATACCACAGACTGTGGTCTACAGTTGTTAAAAAAGAAAGAAAAGAAAACCACAAAACAGAGCAAGATATAGAGGGGTATCCCACAAGTCTCAACTAACACATAAAATATGCTCATTACACCAAATGAACACAGTAACAAATTTCAAGATTACAGGTAAAATTGACATAACTAGTTTAACATACTTCATGTGCAAATAACCTCGAAACCCTCTCAGTACTTCCCAATAAGGCAATACTAAAACATGACAATGTCCCATCCAATAGGCATCAGTAATTCTCACTTTCTATGTCATTTCCTTCTTCTTCATCTTTTTCAGATTCATCATCATCATTCTTGTCATTTTTTTCATCATCAATATCATTATAAGTAAGATATTTATCTAAAGTTTCCTGTAACTCTTCCACAGCTTGCTTTCTTCCTCCAGCTAATGTCTCTTGTACACAGTCTCGCAGGAGTTCTTCAATATTATCTTTATCCTTTTCAGGTGGTGAATGGAGGAGGCCTACAAGAAATATGCAAGTATAAACAATTAGCTTAATCTAAGAGCATTATTACTGTCACAGCATTACCCTCTACAAAAAAAGCAAGGAATTCAAATATCATCCCCCACCATGTCAAAAAAGCCCACTTTTACAGATTCACATATACATAGTTTTGAAACTACACAAATTCAGTTATGTGAACTACAAGATTTAGATCATGTGAAAAATGTATAATTTATAATTGGAAGACACATGCACGTTCTTGACAGAAACTGGAACAACACAATCACGGGAACATTTCCACATAAAACATAAATCATAGAAAAATGGACTTAAGTGGCTTTGAGACGACAGCAGTGACATGGTTAATAAAAGGCTTAAATTACATTCAATATTTAAAAAAGTCCTACTTTGTTTTTACTACTATAGTATGAACAGGCAACATGAAAAAAATGGCTTATCACAATAACACCCTTATATGATATTAACTTTTATCTCATCTGTTATGTGGCTATATAATAACATTATGTTCAAACTAGCAGTCATCCATCAACTGCCTTTGTATTAAAATAAAACCTTATAAATGCTTGTAACATTGGCATATTGTCATTTTGAATATTCAAATTATTAAAATAAATAAAGTGACCCTAAAACTTCAAAACTCATACAGGTTGGCCATTCTTTCCACATATTTCCCTGCAACCTTCCAGAAAAAACTCCTGATTTTCTTACTCTCTCACACACACACCATATCAACTTTTTTTTATAAAAGGATCTAATTACAAACCTTTTTAGTTTTTAATATGGTAATAAAGTGTAATATAAATTTTAAAACACACTTACTACTGAATAAGATCTTAAAACAAGGGTCTTGTAACTTGACTATAGATAATAAAATGTTACCATTTATAAACAAAGTTTTGATCTAACCTATCATTAAATATAATGAATTAGATATTATTGAGATGACAGGAGAGCTGGAATGTAAATATTATATATGTTTTAGTGAAAAGCCAAACAATACGCTATTTATGCTTTGTCCACCACAGGGAATTGAACCCCAGTAAAGAGGAGTTAAATCTAAACTCTCACAATTTTGTTTATATTTAATAACTAATTAATATTCTGTTGAATTCTTACAAATGGTTTAATTCATTTTTAGTTATTTTGAGAAGATAAAAAGCGATTTACTTAAGTTGTGCAATTTTGTACTAAATTATTGATTCTAAATTAAGTTTACATTTGTTTGTCCTGTTGTTATAATGTTCTGCAATTAGTAAATATCAGACTTGGCCTATTCCTTCGTGTCAACCAAATAAATATTTTAGATAGTAAATTAGTAAGCTTATTGATTAATATCTGGGAATATGACAAAACGAAACAACAGTGTTAAATCCGATTACTGTTAAGAAAATGCTTAACTTAACTGTTTTAAAATTATATCATACAACATTAAAAAGATAATCATCTGAGTCATAGGCATAGCAAATAATAAATTATTAGTAGGGCTACAATCAAAAGTGTATGTGTGGTGTGTGATGGTGAAGCTGAGGTAGGTTGATGATGGTATTAATAGACCCAAATATACATATATATATATAAAATCCAAATTTTAGTCTGACTATAACTTGCCTAAGTTGGTGAGCTTCTATGATTATGAATTGTATTCCTTTGTTAAGTATTTGTAGCTTTTGTTTTCATTGACTGTTAAAAATGTCAATATTTTCATAATTTCTGATAATAACTTTAATTGATTTTGTGTTATTTAACAATGTAATAGTTAATGACAAAGATCAATTTGATTAGTTTGTACTATTACATAACAGGTTTTTGATGCTAGACAGAACTCACATTTTTTTGCCCTGTTGCTACAGTAGCAGCAGTTAGCACTTTTGATCACCATTTCTTTATATTAAAAACACAATTCTTTATTACTTACATTGGAAACTGGGTGTAAACATACAATACATAGCAATAATAATTAATTAAAGAAAGGAAAAATTAATTAATTAATAGATAACTAAATAACATATAATAAAAGAAATAGCAGTAGGTTGCTGCTGACCAGCTACCTTCATGTGGTTGATTTTAAAATGATGGATATTGCCATTCTATATGGACTGCACACGCACACTGACAAATATGCTCTGACAGACCTTCATAATTGAAGAGAGGAAAGCCTGTACTTTGAACGGAGCTAAAAGCTCCTCTAATATGTAACATAAGAAGATAATTATCACAAGGAAAAATAACAAAGTAAATGACTAAGGTAAACCAATAATTAGCATAATAAAATAGCATGGTTCTGACATCAAAAAGGGGGTTCCCTAAATATTTACAGAATTTGGAACAGTTTTTTAAATTTTCCCAGATTCATGGCCACTGTGTCATATAGCTTAAGTATAAACAATATTTTCTCATTTATCATTTCATTATCATACAAGTTGCAAATAATTTTGTAAAATCTGTAGTGGTGTAAAGTATAATGCAAAATAATTATCATACACATCAAAAATATGAATAAATCATTAAGAAGAGCATTAGGTTTTGAAAAATACATATTCTGAGAATTTCCCTATTAGTTAACAAATGAAAGTACAAAAGATCCACTAATAAACTCATAAAAACCTTATAACAGAAACCAAAGTTTATCACAGCTGTTCATTCCTCAAGATTTTCCACCACATTTAAAGGATTATGAATCTTTTAACTGAAGAATAATGAAATTTTAATGTTAATAGGGACACTTTTTATTGTTCATAAAGTTTGTCATAATAACAAGATAGTTGAGACAGAAATTGACAAAAAATACAGTGAGTGGTAGAGGGTTTTAAATTAGCACTGAAAAGTAGAATTTCCATGGTACAGGACAACTCATTGTCAAAAGCCATTTTGTTATTGTAATGTAAGTATTGTATTTTTCTTTTCACGAACATTTTTTAATTGACTACATATATTAGTTTATGTGAAGAAATATGATACAAGATAACGTATAAATAGCATGTGTAAATAGTTAACTGGATGAAAATAACCAATAAAACTGAACTTGCTATGAGGAACTGATTATACAAGTGAATCTTGGCTGATGGCACAGAGAAACTGTTTACAAGGGCTCTTCCCAAGTTATTTGGAGAGAAAAAAAATCTGAAAGAACCACTGATTAGAGCAAGATATTGAGAATATTTCTCTAAAATAAAATTGCCAAAATTAGGCTTGGCAAGTCTAAGCAACAAGAAGCAGTCAGTGATTCCATCTTTATTAGTCTACTAGCATGCTACATATATCAGTGTATTTAGAATTTCAAGAACTAATCACAACATGGCTAGTATGCTGACAAAGCTTTATATGAGATCACGAGGTGAGAAATCAATGCTTCAGCAGGATCACTTAATTTTAATTCCTGAACTAATTGAGATTTGATGATACATACATTACTTTTCTGCTCAGCAAGCAAGCGATCTTTGTGTTAAATATTTTTTGCAAGTTTCTACAAAAAACAATCAAACGTATATAGTGATACACTTGGATACGACTCTCGGCTGACTACACTTTCCATCAACAATAATGGGATTAAGCAGATATACACAGAACTTGTAAACCCTGGATGCTAGAGGCTTTGCTAACAAAACCTTTCAAAACATAAATGCAGCACTTTAATAAAAAAAAAGGATATATTGCTATCTAAGCTTGCAGATAAAACTCTAACCTAAAATTAGTATTTATTGCCATTATTTCTACAACAAAACTTGGAAGTGTCTGTTTTCACTAGATCACATTTCCCGATTTTCTAACTTTACTTACCACGATATTCTGATCTTTGGTGAACTTTATTGCCATCATAGTTGAAGAATCCTCCTGTCTTGTGCTCTTCCAGATCAGAAAGAATCTCTTTACAAACTATAGCAAACATTAATTGTCCATAGTGTTTCACCTGGGAACATACATTTGTAACATATTCACTTGTCATGATGTCTCTTGTGAATTTTTGGTAACACATTTCATTGCATAGTCTCTCACTCTGTGTTGAATGTGGGCCCACTGCTATGAATAAAGACAGAGACAACTAAGACAGAAATAGATTGAACATTTATACTTTCAGGAAACAAAAGTGATTACATAAAAATACAATTTTGTGTACCTTTATTTTGGCATTTTAATTATTTTAGAATTGAATGCTTTATCAACTTTCAGGTCCATGAGATTCTAGAATGTTACATGTTTGTGCTTTTAAAATAAATGTTAATGCACATGTATGTCTAGACTTATTTTTTATACTCCATCATATTTAACCCACTTATATAAATATTTTTAAAATACTAAAACAAACTAAAACAATAAACATTTAAATATAGTCTGGAAAAACCAGCATGTAACTTAAAAAATAAGATTCACAAATTTCACATGTTCTGTTTGAGAATGCATCAGGGGGTGGGGGAATTGATCCATTTTACATATATCATCTGCCATAGAAAGACATTATTTCAATTTCTGCTTTCATCTAATGTTTTATTAACAGTATTGTTGGCTATAATGTTCAATGTGTGTGTGTATATATAAGTATGCACATACATACATATATGTATATATATATATTTCTAAGTTTACCAAGTATTTTGACAGTAATGCAATCATGGAAAATTCAAAATTCAAGATTCAAAACAAGAATAAAATATTAAATAACACTTCTGTGTCAATGTATTCTTGGATAGAATGTATGACCAAAAGTGGCCTACTGTATTATTTCTTTAACCAAAGGGTGTCCACTGGCAACAAGCAGCAATAAACCACATGTTTACATATTAGTTAGTTAAGATAATTTTAAATGGCTAAGGTTTAGTAGGTTTCAAAAGTAACAATGCTTTATTCAAAGATCTACAAAACAGTATGAAATGGCTACAAGATGCTGTTAATATTGTAAGCTAGGTGCAAACTTAGATCCTACGTTATTTTATTATAGGAGAAGTAATTACAACAAATTTTATCTTTTGAGTTCTGACCTACATAGCACTTTTGAGCCACGTCTTCACGTCATCTTACAAAAGTGATAATCAAGATGAATTATAATTTTTTTTTTAGTATTGACCTACATAGCACTTTTGAGTTATTATTTCACTTCTTGTTATTATAGAAATAATTAAAATGGATGTTAATAAAGTTTTAGTGGTTCACAATAGATTTTAAGCTTTAGAATGTGGGATCCCTCAAAACAAAGAGTACTGACCTACACAGTATTTTTAAGCTATGCCTTCACTTCATAAAACAAGGAAATAACCAATGACAAAGGTTACAGATAACCTTTCATCATTAAAGTTTACAACATTTCAGACCACAATCAAGTATGTTCATCACAAGTACTTTCGTACATTGACCCAACAAGGCAGTTCATTTACTAATGATGATACTTAAATCCTTGGATGCAAATTTTAAATTGTGTTTACTAGCAGATTTAGAGAAAAGTGATTACTTAGTTCAAAACATCTGAAACTTCGAACTTTAAATGGTTAAAACTAAAAAAAGGTAAAGTTTTTATTTAGAACAGGACAAAAGAACACCATGTGCATTACATAAACCCTACATACAATCTTGAAGTGAAAAAACAATCTAAGATCAACACATGAAAAAAAGCACAATATATTCAAACTCACTTATGAACTAATCAGGGAGGTCTAGATAAGATAATACAGAAGCTTGATTAATTGTTGAAAATATATTTTTTCAAATATGACCTTGATGATTAGGATCTAATTGTCAGATTTATAGCAGGAATGTGAATGAATTAAAACTTTATAAATAAAACATACCTTGAGTAAATAATGTTTTGTCTATAATAATCATATCTTGTAGATCCGTCAGTAAGACTTCTCCTTCGTTTGTAACTGAAAAGCTATTGTAAGAGAACTCTGTATACAAGAAGTACCAATTGGGATCTTCGTTCTGTTCAGAAAAACAAACATCTTGTCTGATCTGAAGGTTATCATTAAATTATACTTTATATCTTAGAAAATAAAAGGGATATTTATAAAACCATCTCATTATCAAACAGTATGTATAAATGTATAGCTTCTTCACATATGTAGCTAACTTTTAGATTACAGTCATCATCAGAGTTAAATGGCACTTGAAGTAGTGCATTATAGTTTAATAAGAAAAATAATTTTTACTGTTATTTTAGTCTCTTTTTCTCAGAATGTGTTTAGTAAATCATATGCAATATTTCTGTTTAATTCTTTGCGCAATATATATATTATTTATCTATTTATAAAAAAGAGAGTTCAGGTTTTTTGCCTTTTCATTTCACCTTTTTTAGTGATAATTTTTCTGTTTTTGATTTCAATAAAATGGCTGGATCCATTTTTATAGCTATACTGTTCTTCAACTGTTTAAATGTTTTTAAACCATCATAAAAACCTTTTATGTTTCAGATGTGGAATATCATATATACTTATTGTTCTAAAAATGTTTTTCCCTTTATCTTTTGTGTTCTACACTTAGAAAATTTTATAAACTTAAATGTTTAAAAATGTTTTAAGTAACCATTTTATTATTACTATAACTGCTGAAGATAGTAAAACTATTTAAATCGGGTCACTCTTTTCCAGTGAAATGAAGAGAACAAAATCAAAAACAAAAAATAAAATAAAATTAATATAAACACACAAACTTTTAGCTTAATAAAACTGTAAAGTTACGAGTTAAGACCTACAGAGGTTCAAACTTAGTTTGTCGTGACTTTAAAGCAGTATTTATATGAGCAATTACTTAAAAGTATGGCTCACAAATCTTTGAATAAAGTGTACACACACACGCTGCCCTGTGAAAACCAATGAGAAATGGAGTCATAAAAGGAGAACCTAGTACATCATGGAAATGTCTTTGGTTTAATAACTGCTATTGTTTTGTAAGGTAAGCTCTGAACTTGGCTTCAACAAGTATCTGGTGCATTTACTCCATTACTGTATCAATAGTTCTGCCAGTTGGTAATTACAAGAAGTCCATCATCTAACGTTTCAAGTTAACACTTGCAGATGGTTGTAGAGATATTATATTAGGGTACAAAAATCTGGTTCAAGACAAGTCATTTCTCCACATTTACAATGTTGTTTTGAAACCACTCATTAGTCATTTTATGGTAGGTTGCATTATTCTACCAACTCCATAATTCTGCCACAGCTCTTGAAACTGTATTTATAATTCCCCGATATTCATGACTATTTAAATATATACATAGTTCACAGATATGTCCCATACCAAATGCAGTCCACATAATAACACACTACAATTGTTCATAACTGGCATAAGATATTCATGGTTGAATTGTTTACCTGCTTTCCTACAGATCCATTACTGAGAATTATTTCAAAACTAGATGGAGTATCTATTATCACTCAAATAAAGATCATCAAGATCCCAGTTGTGAGAGCTTTTATATCTAGTAAAGTGGGAGTAATTTACAATCTGCATGTTCCAGCCATTCCTGAGTATTGGATGAATTGGACTTGACAATGATTAATCATCAGGTTTATTTATCAATTACATTAAAGTAATCAATTATTCTCATGAGATGGCTATAAAAAACTTATAATGTTACAAATCAGATTTAAATACCTACGATAGATAGATAGAACATACATGGCTCAAAGCGTAGCTTTGAGTTTAACAAAAAACAAACATACCGGAAATATTTCAATTACTTGGATAATTGAAATAATCAAAAATAAGAATAATCAAAAACCCTAGTTTCGATTAGTTGATTATTTTTGAGAGTTGTTACATTAATTGATTAAATCTTTCATAATCATTTTGTGCTTGTTATAGTTTCATGCTATAACTTTTAAATTAGGAAGCACATGTTCATGAAATTTGGCAGATTATCAATAAACATTACAAGGCTTTTATATGCAAAATATCAGATTTTTTTTGTCAAGTCTTAAGGGTTGTTAAGCAAAGTTTTTCTCCTGCCTATTTTTCTTTTTGCATTTTGCCTATCCAACATGCAAAGTAATTTTCATTTTAAAATTAAAAATACTTTTATGCATCAGAACATTTTCAAATTTCACATGCAAAATCTTTATAATGTCAAGATAGTTGTCAAACATTTCTCAAGAAAAAACTTTATATTGTATCTGTTATTTTCATTAATGAATCTCTTTACAGATTCGGTTGATTTGAACCGATCTCGTAACCACCATAAAAAATTAGGAAATAAATATAAATTATGCCTTTTTCATTCTAGAATGACTGCAAATTATAACATGAAAAGACAAATGTTCAGACTTATATCTCATGAGATTATACATTTATATATATATATATATATATAT